ATACAGAAATTTACAATAAAAAAAAAAAAAAAGAACAAAATATAATATTTATAATTGTTTCATTCATACAAATATATCGTGTTCTTTCTTTCTTATTTATTTATTTATTTATTTGTTTATTGTTTTTTTCTTCTAATATAGTGGTTTTTTATTGTAAGAGGTTTTTAATTAATTATTTTGAAAATGTCGTCAAGTATAACGCACGAATAAAATTATGGAATAAGAACAAGTTAACAATAATTATTATTTTTTTGATAATTGTTTTGTATGTTTGTTTTATCTCTCATTTTTTTCTTTTTTTTTTTTTTTTTACAGGTATCGGTAAATTTGTATTCTTATATATTTTCTTTAATATGTATATATATATATTAATAATAATAATAATAATAATAATAATAATATTAGAGTCGAGTCAGTTAGTGAATTTCTAGCGTTCTCAATTTTGATTTTAATGAATTTTTATTAAAAAAAAAAAAAAAAAAAAAAAATTGAGTTATTCGTTTGATCGAGATTTTTTTTTTTCTTATTTTTTTTTTCTAATTTGTGTTTTATCTCTTTATCTTACTTTCTAAACTGTCTATACGTGTGTATACATAAATACATTTATTTATTTATTTAATTATCTTGTCTTTTCTTTTATTTTTTGGTTGTATTTTTTATTTTTTTTATTTAACCTTAGTTACATCTAAATATAATATATATATATTTTTTTGTATTATTTTTATTATTTTGCTTTTCTATTTTTTTTTTTTTTTTTTATTTCTTTCTTTCATTTTTACTTTACTTTACTTATTCTTAAAACTTGAATTACTCAATACTGGCGAGTGAGTCGAAATCTGTAGAATTATATTCGTTTTGAAATGTTGTCGAATAAAAAACAAAAGAAAGAAACAAACAAATTAAACAAAACCAATCACAAATAAATTCAATTAAAAAAAAATATTAATCTTAGGTTATGTAAGCAAAATTCTTTTTTATACATTTTTTAAGATCAAACCACACAATCGTTTGTATCATACTTTAATATTTTAAAATCATGAATAGATTTTAATTTGACGTTTTATTTAATAAATAATCATTAATTTGAAATGTAAAAAGAAAAAGATAACCTCACCTTTGAGTGATAACAAAAAATCATTTGACAACATTTCATGCGAATATTTGAAAAAGCATGTACTTTCATGGGTTTGTGTTTTGTATTTTAAAATTGTCTCAACACTAAATATATATATACATATATTGTAATATTTTAAATATATATATATGTGTATTTAAACCATATATATATATAATTCATTACACTTTGTTTTACTCGAACTGTTCAACAGTAAACAATAATAAATATTAAATAGAATAATATAATCACGTTACATACATAATAATAATTTAATTAATAATAATAATAATAATAATAATAATAATAATAATAATAATGATAATAATAATAATAATAAATAGTTTGCTATATTACAGGACTTTTGAAATTTGTCCACTTTTTAGGAATATTTGTTAGTTTCGTTTAAATATTTTTCTATTATTATTCACCCCTTTAGAAAAGCATCACTATATAATATATTACCATATAATTAATTAATATTCTTTTTTTTATTATTATTTCTGCAAACGATTCGATAAATAACAATATTCTTTTCTTCTTTTATTTTGCATTTATACATAATCGATTTGTTATATAACAAAATATAATGCACAGCATCGTAAACTATTTTCTATGCAAGAAGCACACGATTTATATATATATATATATATAAACGCATTTATTTATTTATTATTAGTGTATGGCATTTAGTATTTTTTTCGCATACTCTTTTACATATTATTTTTCTTTTAATTATTATTATATATATATATATGTATCTCTATAGGTATCATAATAATAGTTTATAATATTTAATTAGTTTTATTTTGACTCATTTGCGACATTCGTTGTAACTCTGTACAACACAACAACAATAAACAACAACAACGACGATTCATCAACGCAGATTATAATCGAAAATGCAAAGCGTGAAATGCAAAATTCATTAGGATGTTTAAATATAGTTTTCAATCTTTTATTTATTTTTCTTTTTTTAATTTTTAATATTTTTTTTTTTTTTGGTGTAATCTTCATTTGGAATTCGAACAAATTTAATTTAAAATTAAAAAAAAAACCGATCAATATAATATTTTAAACAGCCGAGTATGTAAAGTAATTGATATTTTTATTTTATTTTATTGTAATTATTTAAAAAATTGTTTTTATTTTTTTTTTTATTATTATGGATTAAATTTAAAAAACATTTTGAATTTTTATATTTTAATTGATGGTTTGATATTGTGTTAAAGTTGATTCAATTTATTATTGAATTTTTGTAAATATTAATAATTAACGAAATAAAAGATTGAATAATTGTTCAAGTTGATTCAATTTATTATTGAATGTTTTTTTTTTTTTTTTTAAATATTTGACGAATTAAAAGATTGAAATAAATTATTCTAATCTTTCGATTAGAATAATTCAATATATTGGTATCTTCACATAAATATAAATATTGACGTTGTTATTGCTTTAATCTACTATCATAAATAAATTCATTAGCCATTAATATTTATTAATTAATTATACTTCCATCTTTCGTTTGTATTTTGTAGTTTTTTCTTTTTTTTCTTTTTTTTTTTTAATTTATTCTTTATGCATGTAAGTATTTTTGTGTATGTATTTACATGCATGATTTGAAAAGAAAAATTAGATAGATTAGATAGATTAGATATATATATATAGATAGAAATGAAAATTTTATTATACACAATTTGTCATTAATTATTTATGTATATATATATATATATATTTTTTTTTTTTAATTCATACGGCCGGAAATATCTACTTTGTTGTTTAACTGGTTGTTGATTTCATTTATTTTTTTTTATTTTTTTTTGTAACCTTTTTTTTTATAGATTATTGCAATTAATTATATGGATATGGTGTGTGTTATTTATCTTATCATCTAATCATCTTAATCACTATGAGTATCATTCAACCGTCGTCAGTTTTGTTTTATTTATTTATTTATTTTTTTTTTAATTTATTATCTTTTTTCTATATGTGGTTTATTTGTTTGTTTTATGTTAGTTTAATTTCTTCTTAGGTTTTATTTTTAATTCACCGTAAGTTAACATTTAGCAATTTTCCATTTGCATCGTCACATTTGCAATTAACCTTCGTCGTACACTAATACTTTTATTTCTTAATTTAAAACAATGACGTCGTCAACACTTACAAACGAATTATGTTAATGACTATTATTGTATCTAAGGAACTATTAACGATTATGTTCGGTGAATCTGACTCGAATTTTTCTAAACTTTTTTTCTTTTTTTTTTTAACACCAAACACAATAACAATTCATATATAAATATTTTATTTTAACATAAGTAATAAAATTTATTAAATGTTAACATAAATTAAACAAACTAGGGAGGTATGTTCGTTGATATAAACAAATTTCATTTTTATTTTCATTTTTTTTTTTTTTTTTTTCATTAACGTATGATTAAAAATATAATTAGTATTCAAATTGATGAAACCTTTATTCCGTTCATTCGATAATAATATTTAAATATTTATTATTATTATTATTATTATTATTATTATTATTATTATTATTATTATAATCATGAATTACGCGAATCTGAATTTTGTACACGCGTCTATATTTATGTTTTTTTTTTTTGTTAATTTTTTTCTGTCAAAATTATGTCTTTTTTTTTATTCGGTTGAAACGATTAGGTCAATCGTCGGCCGGTTTAGGATTATTTTTTTGTTTTCGAACAGATGATTCGATAGGATGACGATTAGATTTTTAATTAATTTCTAAATTGAATTTATTTCTTTTTTTTTTGTAATAATAATTTAAAGATCATGACCTAATCGATCCATTTCGGTCAATAAGAAATCAACGTCGGCTTCTGTAACTGCAGCACTAGAAATAATATTCCTAAAGAAGTTAGGTCTCCTGTCATCTGGTTGATAACCAACCATCAATGTACCTGCTTGCATCATACGTCCTTTCAGGATTGGACAGATCTAAAGAAATAATTTTTTAATTGCATAAATTGTTGCTGTTCTCGTAAATTTGATTTGATTTGATTTTTCTGTTGAATAACTTACTTCGCCTAATATTTTTTCCCTTTCCGGACCATGATGCATATTTCTAACACGTGTTGGCAAATACCAGAAACAAACGTTCACCATTTCTGGTTCGAGAATCAAATAATATTTGTCTGGCATTTGTTTGATACGTTTTACCATATATTCCGTTAATTCCATTAACCTGTCCATGTGTTTTTCAAAACCTTCCGTACCCTAAATTATTGTACAAAAAAAAAAAAGCGAATATTTGCGATTTAAATTAATTTCCAATTTTTCTATTTGGATTTGTGAATTTTTGTTTAACCATTTAGATTTAATATTTATCATAAAGTTAATTAAAATTAATTAATTATTTAATATATTTGAATGTACCAAATTATAATATTTCAGTTTTGTTTGGTTCTTAGTAAATTATTTAAATGAACTAAATTTTTCTTATAGTTAATTAATTAATTAAGTAAATATGTTTATAATATTTGAGTTCTGTTTGGTTCTCAGTGAATTGTTTAAATGAATTAAAAATATTTTATATTAAATATTTTTCTTCTAATTAATTAATTAATTATCAAACATTATTTAATATACCGAATTATAATATTTGAGTTTTGTTTGGTTCTGTCAACAAATCATTTAGATAAATTAAAAATATTTTATATTAAACATTTTTTCAATCACTCAATGGAATCCTATTTGAATTATTATATTGATCCAAATAGTTTTTTTTTTTAAACAAAATATAATTTTGTAATAATTAATCAAACTTACTTTAGCACGCCATTGTAACCATAGCTTGAAAATATCATTGTGACGACCACATTGGATTACTTTGTCACCGGTATCGTATTGCACGTCATAAAGTTTATCGGTCATGAACAAATATTCCGCTGACATTTGATTACAGCTAATTAATAGCCCCTGTAATTAAAAAAAAAAAAAAAAAGAAAAAACGAAGAAATGAGAATAAAGACCCATTGAAAAAAAAACATGGCTGATTTATGAAAATGTGAAAAATCGGACGTTCATTTTCACGCGATAAAACGTCGTCGAGGTAAATTTACGGACCTGTCGAGAGGGTTGGAGGGGTTGAAAAGGGGGTTAGAAAGGGGGTGGGAGTAAAGAGCTGCTTGCCTGGGTCGATACGGGCTGTTTAACACATGCGCACGAGGAAAGGGTGTTACACCGGTATTGAATTTACAAAATGGCGAATTCTGGGAAGGAGGAAGGGTGGAGTAGGGTGAGGTATCTACCAACCACCTGGATATTCCACCATTTCCTTTTTAGACTACCTGTTAAAAGGTGGGGGATATTAAACGGTGATTAGAGGGTAGTCGCCATTTTACTGGCTCAGACAATTAATCATATTATTTTCTTTATTATTAAATTGATTTTGCAATTAAGAATTAATGAATTATGAAATTAAAACGTTTGCACGTTTAATGTTCAATCTTAAAAAATTTAGCTGCTGATTTGATTAATTTAAAAAATTTATATGCTTTTGTTTTAATATTTCAATAATAATTCATTGTTTTTTTGTTGTTTAATTTTTCTTTAAAATATTGTGAAATAAAATTTGATGTCTGGTTACACTTTAAGTTAGAATTAACAATTTCGTTTTGTTTTTTTACGGTGGAAGGAGGAATAATTTTAAAAAAATTAAAATAAACGTGAAGGATCAATACTTTGTTGTTAAATAATTCGATAGGAAGAAAGAATAAAATAATTTTGTTGCTGTTTAATTTTTGTTTGAAATATTATGAAGAAAAATTAGCTGTTCAGTTATGTTTTAGGTTAAAATTAACAGTTTTCTTCTTTTTTCTTACGATAGAGGGAGGTATAATTGTTAAAAAATCCAAATGAACATAAAAAATCAACATGATCATTGAATAATTAAATAAAATGAAAGAATAGAAGAAGTATATAAGATAGAATTATGAAAAAAAAACTGATCTACAAAAGAAAACAAAATATTTCAGTGTGGTACAGCCGGTGTACGGAATTTTAATATGAAAAGAGAGAGAGAGACGGGTGAGAGTGGGGAGTGGAAGGAAATTGAAAGACAGAGAGAGTTAGCAATAACTACTGCGATGTCTGGATGGTTGGTAGGTTGTTGGAATCGTTGGAGGGATAGACCCTCCAACAATCCAGCGGCACTTCGTCGGCAGTTCGCCGACGGACTATGGCAACATATGTTATCTCTTAGTTTAATTAAATTCCAGGAGTATGCGGGCACGTAGGTTCCAACCCCCTTCCCTTTCCTACCCTTCCTGTAACCCATGAAATGCCATAGCGTTCGTTGTACGTTATGTCATCGCCCTTTTCTCAATGCCATTCGACACACGTCAAACCTCACGTCATTCCTGTACCAAAGTTTTTTTTTTTTTTTTTTACAACACTCTATGTAATCGTAAAATTTTTCTATCCCATGTTCGACGCGTCTATCAATCGATACGAAATTTTTTAATGTTCCTTTTTTTGATATAATAATAATAATTGTTTACTCACATCTTGTTTGAAGTGTATGGTTGAACATTGAAGCAAAGTTCCCATCAATTTGTGAGGATTCCACGTAACGGAGTCAGCTCTGTAAATCAAAGTTTAGAATTGTTGTTTATAGGAAATTTCATGAATGACAATATGAAGAAAAAAGAATAGGTGTGAAGTTTATCGAGGATTCTAGGTCGGAACTATCGTTCACTTTGACGCATCCTATCTGGTAACTGTCGAAGTTAGAGTAGACTATATAAAGGTTGACTGAAAAAGCTCAGTTGAGTTAGGCTCAGCTGGCTGACCCGTCAAACTTTTATCCACTCTCCCATAGGGACCAATAGGGGATAAAATATGAGTTATCTTCTTGTGCCCTTGTGTATATGGGTTTTACTTTCTTCCAAAAATGGGGGTTGTTGTGGGGGCTCCCCTCATCGATTCGAGTGAGAGAAGAGCTATTAATATAGCCACGGGATCGGATTTAACCCTCAGCTAACTTCACACATACACGTATACACATACCCTGTTTTAGCTAGGAGAGAAAACCTGCTGTTCTGTTGTGTATAACCCTTATTTAATCCAAGTAATCACGAAATTGTTGAAGAGGGAATGAGATAGGCTGAGACCTCTTTGGGATTGATGATACTTGACACCAATTTGTGGTTTAAACGTTTAACCGATTTAATTGATATTAATTAATCTGTTGTTTGTTTCTTTTTACTACGTAATTTGATTTATTGATATTTATTTGTTAATATATTTATCATCAATGAATAATTTTGTTTTTTTTTTATTACTGAGATTGGTAATACGAAAAATGTGACAAATGTGACATATGTGACAAATGTTATAGTTTACTTTTTGCAAATGACACGTATTTGTATTAAACGCATCATACAGGACCCTTTAATGTCTCCTCTTAACTATACTGTGGATGATTCAAGGACACTTGAAATATCCTGAAAGAGACTCGTGTCGACGACAGATACTACACATTTGTCATTTTTCGCTTTACTCATGGATGGACGATTTTCTTGTCCCTTTTATGTAGGGGTACAGGGATGGTTCAAATCTTCTTTTAAATTCCTTTAGTGTGATTTTTATATTTTTTTTTCTTAGCAAAAACACGAGTATTAACATTTGTCAACGTTTAAAACACAAACTAATAATTATTACAAAATCAAATCACCTCAAATAATTAATTAGGGTTAGTTTGAACTGAGCATTGTAACATGAACAGTTTACTTGGATTACTTTTTTTTATTTAAAAATATAGTCTGTAACTTTTAATGGATGTGTGTCAGTTAGATTTTACTTCACACGATTGTTGAAAATAATTGAAATTTGTTGTTACGTTTAAGAAAATAAGGTATACCTAATTCTCATGGAAATTGTGCATATACGAAGTTACGAGAGTGATTAATGCGATTCGCAGCTGGGGTTGGCGCTTGTACCAATCCTCTACACTGCCCTCTACCCAATCCCCTTCCCCCACTCTCTTTCCTTTTAGCTCGTCTTTCAAATTCGTTCCTCTTGCCAATCCCAAAAGCTACACGAAACATGGAACACGTGCATCGTATACACGTACCTATGTGTATCAGTATTTGCCTATTAATTACCATAATTATTATTGATACGTTTAATGGGAAAACACTAATTTATTGATTTGATTGAATAATTATCATAATTGATTATCGATTAGAACATTTGTGGATTTAATATTACAGAAAAAAAAAAATAAACAAATTATGTTAATTTATAGTAAAAAAGTGTCATGATTATTTAGAAGTGTAGAGGAATTAGGAACTTTGATTTTGTCATATGCATAAATGTTTTACAAGTATTTTATGGTTATTATAAAATTTGTTATATTATATTATTTTTAAATTAGATTATATTTGTTAATGTTCAAATAATCAATTATTAATGTCTAAATAAATTATTTAAAATATTAGATTATTTAAAATAATGTATTTATTTGCTAATTGGAATTAGGCATTCAAAAATTCATTGCTGCACATACTTGCTAATAATAACAGAAAAATATATCATGAAATTTGAAAAAGATAAAAAAGCACTAGGGTTGGTGAAAGAAAAAGAAAACAAACGAAAAGTAAAAAACTAAAAAACCTAGTCATATATAGTCATGATATAGTCATATATAGTCACATCAGTTTCGTGTGTTTTCATTGAACGAACAAACAGTTTCGCATGAGAGAACTTTTACTTGTAATCATTAGTGACATTTTGACGTGGCAGGACTAAATCACGGTTCCTCTTTTAGACGAACGATTTTCTACGTAACATGTTCGTAGTATATGTTAGAATGTGTAGGAGAGGAAACGTATAGTGAAAAAGATAGACACACGGGATAGATAGAGTAAAAGAGAGAGAAAGAGAGAGAAAGAGAGGGAGAATCCTTTGTACGTGTTTAATCCAGCATTGTCGAGGCAGAGGCTTTTATTTCAAACTCGCGAAGTATGGTACAACTCACGGATGCTGTGGCGCGTCAATATAAGAGGAGAGTTCTGTTCAGCAAATGCGCTCCAGGGAACCGATCCAGCTGTTGCTCGTGTGCCCATAGACTTTCTCTTCTCGTTTGCCATTTTAATCAAGACCTTCAGGAAGAAGGAAGTACCGACTGACAAGTACAGTCCATTCAAAAAAAAAGGACAAAAAAATCTAGAATATATCAAAACCCCTACACCCCCTCTATTTGTTCTCAATAACCAGAATAATCATTCACCCAAAACCCCCACCACTTCTTTTTGTTTCGTTTTGTATCAAAAGAACAAGATAACATATATATATGTATACTTGATCAGTCATTTTATTAAATTGTTAATTAGAATTGTTTTTTTTTTTTTTATTTGTTTTTGAATAATAAAATGGCAAACGATCGGATTTAGTTAACGCGGTTGAATATGTTTGACGCAATATGGGATTGGAATTTTTGTAAATTAAACAAATGATAGATAAAACTAAAACAATTTGAAATAGAAAAAGATTAGAAGACCTCGTAGTAGAATTTTTATTTTTAGGGTCACGGATTCTGTCTGTTATCGATTCGACTGGGGGTTGCAGATGCGTTCAGATGCAAATCGTGGATTAATCTCGGCATCCCTTGAGTTCACAGTGGCTTCCAGTTTGAACTAAACACAATAGCACGGAAATACACTGACCCCCATCATCTCGAAGCCAAACAGAAGAAGAAGAAAAAAAAGAAACTGTCTGATCGTACACCAATCGTAACTTGAAATTTTATTTAGGTTAGGTTAACACATGATCTTCTTTGATTCATAACCAAATTCGTAAATCATTTGATTAGTTTGATTTACAAAACAAAAAAAAACAAAATTGGTTTCGTGTAATTGTCACAATAATAAATTTTCTTTTTAAAAGAAGTGTTTGAGTATTATCATGCAAAATGATATATCGAATAGGTTACTTGAAAGCCTATCTATAGTAGTATTGATTTTTGTATTCTATATATTGTATACCTAAGCCTCGTATTTTTTTGGTGCCTCTTGAAATCTTAGGATCCATAAAGCTAAGCCCTTAGGATAAACTATAAAACTCGTAGATCAAATTGAAAAAGAAAGAGAGAGAAAGATCAGCCCCAATGTTAATGCTAGTGAAGATATTCTATTGTTTAGGACTCACCGTTCGATGCCAGTCAATCTTGGGTGTCTGTACTTTCGGGATAAAAGCAAACCACCACCCCAAGCTGCCTGTAAAAATTCATACAAAAAGGAAATTATTATTTTATTTTATAAAAGTGTAAATATAGATTGCAGATATTCAAGTTTAAATGGTCCTTAAACAACGGTGACTTATAAATCCCACGTTTTCCCGCGATCAATTTGATTTGAATTGAAACCAACCGTACTAACTGGGGTTGACTGGCTATTCAACAGATTTTCACTTTCGCACATATATTATTTACGTTAAGGCTCTTTACTAAGCTTGGCATTTAGGTATTAACTCGTGAGAATTGTCATGAATTATTCGTAATACGGATAAAATAGTCGATTAAAGATCAATCGAAATTTTACTCACGTCTACGTGAAGCCAAAGTTTGTATTTCTTGCATATATCAGCTATTTCTGTTATCGAATCGAATGCACCAATGACGGTTGTACCAGCTGTTGCATTTACGAAGAATGGTATGTGACCTTTGGCTTTGCGTTCGATAATAAGTTCTTCCAATTTGGATGGAATTATTCTGCCACGTTCGTCGCTTGGTACCATGACACAATTGTCAGTACCCAATCCGCAAACAGCAGCGCAAGATTTCACGGAATAATGGCACTATTTTGATAACAATAATAATATAATGATTAATTGAAATATAAATCGGTCAAATTGTTTGAATTTACCTGATCTGACGTAAACATGACAAGTTGACCTCCTATAGATGACAATCCGCGTTCTTTGTACGATGGAAACATTTTATGTCTGGCTGCTAAAAATGCGTAAAGGTTGCTAATTGATCCACCAGGCGCTAGTATCGAGTCACCACAATTCCAGCCAATAAGTTCTCTCATTTTTTGAAGTACCACGTTTTCCATTAAAATGAATACCGGCGCGATTTCGTAAGTGAACATGTTTGTGTTTGCAGTAGCTGTCAACCATTCGCCAGCCATCGAGATCAGGTCAAGACCGCAGGACAATTGATTGAAGAAGTGTGGGTGTCCTTATAATTCAAATAAATTCAACGAAATCTGTTAATATAATCCCCGAGGTTTGTGTGGATTTATAAAATGTGTTCTCAAATTGTTTCGTTCAAGTTTAAAATAATCCTGAACTATTGTCAAAAGTAACATTAACAAAAAAAGATATTATAAATCATTTTTTCTACGTCAGATGAATTTTTTTTTCTTGCATGGAAATGAAGTATTCATTAAAATAACGATCGTGATTGTCGTAATGGCATTACTGTTAATGACATAACTAAAGTAATTAATAATGTTGACATGGCACGTGCTAAAAAATGTTCTTTAACCCTAGGTGCGAACCCTAATCTATGTTCTCTTGGACACTGGTAAAAGGTTAAATATAAAATAGTGTAGGGTTGAGTTAGATAGAAGTATGGGAGTGTGAGTGAGAGGTTTAAGCTCCTCGCTGAGTACGTTGTCATCCGCTTGGCTGAACATCGTGCACGGATCAAGTCTAATGCTTCTGTTTGATGGGAGTCTGCCTTCTGGTGTAGCCAGGGGAGAACATACTACCATCACTATTGCATATACGATAGTTGGATGTTCTCTCTTTTTCAATTTCTCATTCCTCAACACACACACAGAGAGACACAGGTCGTACCTTCTTTTGTTGTTCAGTTTCTTTATCGTTGAAAAGACAAGATTTCTTTGACGATTTTTTCTTTTTTTTTCTTATTCATAAGTTCTAATGACTATGAACTGTTAAACAATTGGCCAGACTTTTGGAAGGTTTGTTATTTGAAATAAAATTGAAAGAAGTTCATCGATAAGTTGTGGGGGCTGGGGGGGGGGGTGAGTAAGAATGTTTAATCTCACAGTATTAGGAAAGTAGATTGACGTTTGACAGGATCCTTTTAGGATTTTGGATGTTAAACCCCATAGTGTTTGGGGTTCAGTAAAGTGACGTTAATCTGGTAATTTTAGTCTTATTTCTAAAGTATCAATGCCAGTTACCATTGGATGGTAATTAGTTGTTTGAAATGTATTATTTACGATTGTATAACATTGATAGTATTTTTCTTCTTTTGTTTCGGATTCAGAAGTTGATAGGAGTGGGGTTGTTGGATAAAAAAAAAAAAGGAAAAGTCACCCTCTGAAAATGTGATATTTCGTGCGATGGTATTCGAGCCGTTTGTCGCACTGTTATTCGCAATTATCTTGGTCTGGAGAATCGTGGCACGCGTCCGGTTTGGGGGAGAAGAAAAAGAATAAGAAGAAGGATTTCTTTCTTTCTTTCTCTTTAGTATCACAGGGAACATCGAACGGGAACATGGTCTGTTTAAGGGTGGAGTAGGGTCGATGGTCCGAAGCGCCCGCATTTTGCGCGTCACACGCGTCGCTGCTCGACTAGATTGTTTGCAGAGGCTCTCAAACTATGCGTTTATTCGTGTGGTATAAGATAGATGCAGGAAAAGCAAACATAGCTTTATGTCGTCCAAGTGCAACAACGTAAGCCGATTTTAAGAATTTTCTTGTAAACATTTGCTCTGGGATTTTTTTGATGAGATTTTGAAAAAAGATAGTTGAATAGTTTTGAAGATTATATTTAATAAGAATTTGTTTTGATTAGGAAATAATTTAGTAACTGGGTTATCAAATATTGTTTAGATTAGAAATTTATTTTAGGTAAGAATTTATTTTAATTACGAAATAATTTAGTAAGAAAATAACCAAATATTTTTTAGATTAGGAATTTATTTTAATTACGAAATAATTTAGTAAGAAGATAATCAAATATTTTTTAGGTTAGGAATTTATTTTAATTAAGAATTTATTTTTATTACGAAATAATTTAGTAAGAAGATTAGCAAAAATACTTTTTAGATTAAAATATGTATTGTAGTTAATTTTTAGGTTAACTTTTATAAAATGTTTTTTATTATAAATTTGAAACAATAGTTGGTAATTAATTGAGGATAAATTAGATGTATTTTTTAGTGATTTGATTGAAATAATTTCGTTTGAACTACCTGGTTTTATTTTAAAAAGTATTTCTTTCTTTTTTTATCGAGAATCATTCGATAAAATGATAAGAAATAGTTTCTTCTCAGTAGATTTCTTTTCACCGAGTACTCCCTCCGCGATTAGAGTCTTTCCTTTATCGTGGTATCATTTTCCAACTAATTTACTCCTGTCTTTCGTAGTGTGTTTGAAAGAAAGCGAAGTGGCTTCGTAAGCCAGGAGGAGAAAACCTGTTCAAAGCAGACCCTCACAGTGATATATTAGAACTTAGGATTTGTATGAAGAGAAGTGTGTAACCCTGGCTTAACGTTAATGCTGTATAATCAATCATATCGTTCTCAAGAAGGTGGATAATACTTAACAAATTTTTTCTTTTTCCCTTTTTTTTTATCTACGAGTACAATTTTTTTACCAACGTTTATTTCCATTTATGAAACAACGAGAAACAATTCAATGCAAAATTCAAAAATCCAAATTAATTATACAACGATAAATACTGACAGCCATTTTTAATCTATTTGTTTGTAAAGTTTAGTTTATCATTAATTTTATGATTTAATTATTTATTTTTTATTATATATTAATGTTTTATGATAAAAATGGCAGACGTTTATTTAAGTTGCTGTTAAATCGCAAATAGATGTGTGTTTCTGTTGTTGTTGTCTGCATTTGTATAAAAAAATAGGAATAACCATGGTCATTTAATTTCGAATTATTGTTCATACTTTAGGTGGGGGTGGGGTTAGGGGTAAATATATTTTTCAAGCATTCCACGAATAGCTATCGATACTAATTTAAATTCCTTAGCTGTTATACCTACTCACCAACCTTTTTCGATGTTGGAGAATCGCAAAATAGGGGCTTTTTCCCTACGAACTGTATCGTTCTAGTCATCCCCTATGCTCACCCCTATTTACCGTTCCACCCTACTATCCAGCGAGGGAAAATCGTGTAGAAATGGCTCTTAATTACACCGATCTTATAGAATTCGCCACCCTGTAGTACGCAATGGTGCCACGTGTATTCACACTACCCTAGGGTAATTTTTTCTTATTTCTTTTTTTTTTTACTAAAGGTATGAACTAACATTTTTTGAACTCTTTAATTCTTAAATATGCATATCCATTGTTATAATAATTATATTTATAAATGTATGTATATTTTGTTCACTGTATACGATATGCATCAAACATTTAGTTATAATAATGTTAATATAATTTGTTTATAAATTTATGATAATGCATTTCATCTTGTTGAGAGCATAATTAATCATAATATTTCTCGTTTATTTATTTATTCGATTTAGTTTGTTAACGAATGTTGTTTAGAAAGAAAATTTTGTTTAGTTGAATCTTTGAAACGTTCGAGTATAGAAGGTGTCTTCAAAGTTTGAAACTTGTCAAATGGGAAACATCTGTTCACCCAAGTTATTTACCCTAAAGCTATCGAAGAAACTAGAACTATTTGTTTCCGATAAAACAAGGAAAGTGTGGTTAAAAGAAAAATTAAACAAAAGATATTTCGTAATTTGGTTTTTTAGGTTATACACCAAAATCTTTTCAAATTACTTTCAAATCATAAAAAGTAGAACAAGAAGAGACACATTTTTCACATATTTGATAAATAATCTTTTGAAAATTTTTATAATCTTTACAATTGACACATAGTTCATAATTTGAAATAATTTATTATTATACTTTCTTTTGGCAAATATCATTTTGACAAATTTTATCCCCATAGTCCGAGTTTGATCGATCGAATATCGTCAGACAGGTTATTTCATCATCCTTCAAATGAAAATCCAACATGAATGCAGTCTTTCAAATTTGATAGTCATTTATTTCTAATCTTCATATTGATCTACATAAAAAATATATTCTACGTAATTCAAATATTATTTTACTTGAACAAAAAAAAAAATTAATTCGTCAGAAAATAACCTAACTTTTTTTTTACCAAATCTGTTCAAACGTATTTAACAATTGACTTTGTAGTTTAAAGTAACATTACAAAATGAAGTTAAACTTAAAATAAAGTAGTTTAAATTTAATTGGTTTAATTTGCATAAATTATTTTATTAACATTCAATGTTTAATTAAACAAACCCCTAACGATATCTTACATGAAAAATATTTTTTATATTTTTTTGTGAACGTACGTGAACGTATGTGAACTTCATGTGTGTTTTTTGTACACCTTAGTGGATCAAATTGTTTAAACAAAAAAAAAAATAAAATAGTAAATTTGATAGATAAAATGTAGAATACAGAATAGAAATATTTGAAGATGAAAGGGTCTTCCTTTTTTTCTATACTTGTGCCAGAACATAATCTAATAACGAGTTTTTGTCAGCACGTATATCAAACTTAGACGTGCCCTTACGATATCAGAGGGGTTGACTACTATTCCACCCTTCATCCACCCCCGACCCTTTATTTCTCTCTCTCTATCTCTCTTTTGGTATCGTTCGATAACGCAGAGACGACGTTGGCCAGATTTCTGGCCTAACTTTGGTTAGGCTCTTCCATTGTGCATTAGCATCCATTCAGGTTTGGTAATCGAATCTCCAGGACGAGATTGGCGAACTTTTGTGGTTGTCTATGTGGTGGTTGACTTTCTAAACGTTATTGGTATCTTATCGATTACTATCATTCATTCCTATCATCTAATATATTTTTTTTTATTATTATTATTTCTTTGTCAAACGAATTTAGATGATCCCTTGTTAAGGTATTTTAATGTTTTATTATTTATTAGCAATTTATAATGTTGGTAAATAAGAATTATTTTACTTTTTCTAAATTTGTTATTGCCTAATCGTTTATTGTTTATTTTATGTTATTTTTATTTGTATTATATATATATATATATATATATATATGTGTGTTTAATAAAAAGGGTTGTGTGAATTATTTTACATTTTGTTACAAATATTTTAATTAAATTTATATATCTTCTTTGTACTATAACAATTTTTTATTTCCTGATAAATTTTTCCATCCCCCAATTATATTTTTTATTTAATTGTTTTGTGAATTATGTGTTCAACAAAAAAGAACTTTGATTACGGAACATAGCAATTTTATTTTTCATTAAATTTTGCAATATCTTTGGTTGCTCATTTTTCAATTTAGTTTAGTTTTCTATTTTTCCGAGGGTGAGAGTTTGTTTTTTATCGTGAATGTGTCAAGAGGGTTGGTGAACGTCCGGAAGCATCTTTTTAGGAAGCTTATCTTCATCTGTTCAACCCCACTCCACTCCTGATCCCCACCCTTCAACCAACTTGGCCGTATGCTAAATTGAATATGAAATTATGTGGCTTATCACCCTCATGGATTGAGAAGTATGATAGTGGTTTGAAGTATACCGGTAGCTGTCATATTTCTTTTTATCTCGTCCTACTACCTTTTTTTTCTTTTTTTTCTCTTATCTTTATCTTTCTATAAATTATCTTCTTATATAGATGGAACCTTAAATAAATCGACAATAATCGTGTACTTTTGTAAAAATTCTATTTCCTATTTAAATATCAGAAAAAAATGTTTGCAAAATAGGATTGAATTAAAGTTGCACCAATAGTATCAAGGTCGTTACAAAAATTATCACGTAACAATTGGAAAAATGTTCCTAATCCTAAAGAATTTAATTTAAAATAAAATTGTTTTTAATTTTGAGTTTTTGTTGTTGTTGTTGTTGAAAAGATTTGATCAACTTACCAGTTCTGACTTGATACTTTAAAGTTGTCGAACAGTCGATTAATAATCGTTGTAGGGTGAGCCCAGTGTCAGGAATCTCGAGATCAAGTAAATGAATCATGTCAGATGGATGACGAAAATCAAGGACCTTTGCGTTACGATCATTGGTTGATTTGATGTAATCCAATAGGATGTCCACCACCTTCATCAAGAATTCTTTCGTCGCTGGATAACTTTCGGCATTGTGAGGCAGGATGTCTGAATAGCAAAGAATTCAAAATACCCCATGCATGAAACTTTATTTAATTAATCATTTCATAACAATTATAATATTTACAATTATTTTTAATATTTTTTTTTTCTTCAGTTTGCAGCAGTTTCATTCAATTTTTTTTTCCAATTTAATTCATCACTGACCCACAGAAACAATATCATTCTCTGATTGTCATAATCAAATGAAATCTGTGTTTTAATGAATTATTTTATATTTGAAAGAAAAATTATGATAAATTTGATGAAAATTAGATGTTCTATTAGGTCCTCTTTGATTTTTGCGTGTTGAATAAAAATGATATTCAACCTACCGTCGTGTGTTCATATCGTTCATCCTCCATTGAAACGTAACGGATTTAAAATGATTTCACCTCATCAAACAATTGAAAGTATAGACCTATTTTGACACACTCTCACTTGTTTGGTGGGATGACATCATCTTCGTTATCATCTTCACCTTCTTTTTGATCTCTTCCATAATCTTCATCTTCACATTTCTTTTTTTTTTTTGTATTATGTTGAGAGACGTTTATATTTTTCTAAATTCTAACCTCACACATTAATTTTCATTCATCAAATTCTGATTAATTCAATGATTGAACAATCATCATAATTTTGTTTAAGAGTGTTTCTCTTAAAAGAAAAGAGAAAAATAAGATAAAAAGAAAGTAAATATATAGATCATTTGAATGTGCTTCTACTGTAATCCTTGGTAGATTGGCCTGTCCTTCTATCTCAGGCTAACCATAATGTATCCCATAGAATAAAACACCCCTCTCGTTTTCCATTGCATTAACGTGATCCCTTGGATAAACAGAATACTGACTTTAAAATCCCTTGTATACGTGTTTGTGCACACGCTTCACACTTCTTTTTTTTTTCCAATTATTTTTCAGTATCAACAGTTGTTAAATTGTTGAACAAATTATCAGTTCAGAGTCTTATTAAAATCTAACCAATAATTCTAACATGTTAAATCAAACAAACATTAAATGTTGTATAATTTAATAACAATTATTATTATGTTTAATTACTTTCATTGTCGGAAAATTGTTGAAAATGTTATATGGGGGTTTATAAGAATGATTTGTAGGTAAGGTTTTCTTTATATATGAAGTAATAAGAACAAATTTGGGTGGTATGATTCAGAAAATTTTTGAAGGAAACATTTAGGTGTATATACATTTAAAAAGTATTTCTTTCAATGATCATGAAAAAGAAGAAATTGAAGAAGAAGGGTGCTGAATAATGTTTCATCCAATACGAAAGTAAGGGAACATTGAACCTGATGGCAAATCGCTTTGAGCCTTTGGTTAGACAAGGGAAATCCTCGGCTTCCAACGGTTGGGATCTGGCTAATCCTACCCCATCAATCTAATGTCCAAATGCTATGGTTTCTCTATTTCACTCACTAAGTTTCTTTCTTTCTTTTTCTTCTTCTTCTTCTTCTTCTTCAAAGTTTATGGCACTTATCAAAGTACAAATAAGGGAAGTAAATCTTTTGTTTAATTTTATAAAATAAGAGACAATTTATAAATTCATCGTTAAAACAATTGGATTTATTTTCTAACGAATGGTTTTTCTTTTTTGTTTATTGTTAAGATCAATTTTATGGCCAGTTGTTGTAATCGTTTTGCACCAGATGTTTATCTTAACCCCTCAGAAACTTCCTAGCTTTAATGAAAACGATTCTTCTAGGGGTTAAAGGGGGAGTGGCTTATTATAAGTGGCAATTAGTTCTTTTGTTCTAGATATTTACAAGCTTCCCAGATTATGAGATTCATTTATAATTGGATAATTTGTAGATAATTAAAATGGGTTATGTTCTCGAAAAAAAAAAAAGATAACATATTTCTTATCAGAAATTAAACTTAAATACTGCATTAAAGTAACAACAAATGAATTATTTATAAGGATTATAATTGAAACTTTTACGAGTAGAAAAATATTGAAAGATAAATGTTAGTTCGTGACCATCCGTCGGTAATCAAGGATTTTGATTATTAGCATTTAATAAATTGTGAAGGAGGATAGAAAAGAAAAGAAAATCTTTGAAAAATTTGAATATGGAGTTGACGTGACATAGAAGATGATACCTTATCGCTATCCAACACTTGGCAATGTGCAAACACGAGACGTAGACTTGAAAACCCTTCTCTTTCTCTCTCTACCCTTTGTACCCTGCGGCGTGTAATCTGTCCTCAGCCACTCACCGCCTAGGAAACTCACTCTCTTCTGATTCTAAATCCTCTATTATTATGCACCCCTTCGATGAAGCCGCAAGCTTCACGAAATCACGACAATATTGTCCACCTATTGAGGATTTTTATTCTTCCTGAAGTTAAGGGATCTCTAAGTTTTTGTTTCCTTTCAAACACGAGTTTTGAAGATTTTTTTTTTTTTTGTGGTTTTCAGATTAATTGTAATTCATTTTTTCATAATAATTTTAAATGATTTTCATACTTGTTTCAGGTTAAGAAATATTATGATCATTGAATATGCAATTAGATTTATAAATTATTATAAGTATTGTGTGTTCGAGCGATTTGATTTTTGATGTGAATATTGAGGTTAGGAAATATTATAATTATATGAATAAATATCAATTTTACTTACATTAATTTAAGGAAAAATGATATTTATTGGTACGCAAATGAAGATAAATCTAAATAAATAAGTACAATAATGAAATTTCGTTTAACTTACCCGAGTATTTGAGGTCACAGTATTCCCTGGATAGGGAGTAGGTATTTTCGTTACTCATTAGTCTTGTGGGTGAGTGCGTCCTTGCAAAATTCTGTAAAAATACAAAACAAACAAAAAAAAAAAAAAGAACAAAAGAAAATAATTATAATACATATTTTATATTTTATAGAATAATATACACATAATTGCAAAAGAAACAATATAATAAATCGTTAGAATAATTTCATTTGATTTTGACTCTTCATTTGATCCTGAATATTATATGAATGAAATTTCTATTAAAATGATGATTAGGAAATAATTAATGATCATGATCAAAAATGATATGATGATAAACCGAGATTTACGGATGGTCTTACATATAAGTATTCCTTGATAGCTGTGATTTTAGTGCCGATCATTTGCACATTGTCCATGTCTCTGCTTGTGTCCCTTCGCTTCAGTCCCTACAACAGTCAAGTAAGATTTTCCGCTTCAGTCTTCGCTCGATTTTTTTTTTTAATTATTTGGTTTTTTTTTTATATTTTTCTTGTTGTCTTCAACGTCAAGCTCGAGCTCGCCAAGATTATTTATTATTTTATTCTTTTCTGTATTTCATTTGGTTGAACTTAGATTGCATTTGTTTCGAAACCAAAAAAAGAAAAGGTAATCGTCGAAGAAATTATTATTTTTTTATTATTGTTATTATATTTTATTGTTGAATTTTTATTTGGAGAGATATTATTTTGTTTATTTAGCAAAAAGCGAGAAGAAAAAAACGGAGAGAGAAGAAGAGCGACCAAAAAGAAACATGGACAGAGAGAGCAGACCTTATTTGTGGTGGTGGTGGTTGTGGTGGTGTTGGTAGTGGTGATATATATATATATTTATTTATAATATCGTAATCATTTTATATATTTCTATCTGTTCTATTTTTTTATTTATTCTTTGGAGCATATTTTAGTTTTGCTCTCTGAACTGATTGATAGAAATTCAAAGAATTGTAAATCGCAAAATGGAGGTTTTGTGGGGAAAAAAAGAAAAATTAAAACATTAGTGTGATAGGATTGTGGATAAACGTGCAAATTAAAACGAGTTTTATGTTCGAATGAAATGATTTCAATGATTTTATTAATAAAATTCTGTTTATTAACCCTTAAATGTAGAAAATAAATTAATTTAGTCTTATCTCGTTTATAGGTTAGGAATTTAGAGATTTTTCATTTAAAAGTGAAGTAGTATGCGTTTGCTGATAATAATTGTGTGCATGCATATATTAAATTGAAAAATTCTTATTTTTTAACAAGTGTAGAATTTTTATAAATTTATGATTATTAATAAAATATATATTTACAATTTTTTGCAATATAAATATTAATAATGAGTTCGCAATATTTTTTTTAATAGATTATTCTACATGGGTATTTAAATGTTTTATTATTTTATTTAATAAAATAGAATTCATTTGAAATTCTATTTGTTTAAAAATTATTAATATTTCAGTAAACATTTTTCTAACCAAATACACGAAAATCTTTTTAAAAAAACAATTACATATCCAATTCGAAGAATTTTATTATTTAAACAAGAATTATTTATCCAACAAACAACCCCTAATTAATTGAACAATCCTTCCCATAAAATTTTCTACGAACAAATTATTAAATCCTACATTAAAGGGTTATCAAATATCAAAAACTACGAAGCAATAGAAAAAAAAAAAAAAACTAGAATACAAAAAAAGCATAACCAGCATATTTAGCTAACAGTAATAAAAACTTACCAATAATAAAAAGCCAAAAAAAAAATATATATATCAAATAGAATAATACAAAAAAATTATAACAAACGTTCTAACCTTACTTATCCTCCGAAGTGGTTGGTTGTCCTACTCAGAAAAAAATGGACGATGTCTTCGTTTTACTAGACGAATAAATGATTAGAAATTCTATGAGAATGAATAGAATAGGGTGATAGATTTGGTTATCACGAGTTGATTTAAGTAGAAACGATAAAGACGACGACGACGACGACGATGACGACGACGGGGTTAGCTTCAGGGGTAGTTTTCGAAGGGACTGCTTCGAGTCGAAAACTCCTGGACGACTCTCGAGTCTCGGCCTGACTCGGCCTGCCTCGAGTATGCCTGACCCAGTTTCCTCCTTCAGTATTAACCCACGCACGAGCGTGGGCATACCAAAGACCAAGGGTGGGGTTGTTTTTGCGTGGGCGTGGCCAACCAACCAACCCCCGTAACCATCCCCCTCGTATTTCTCAACAGACATCAGGATTGTTGAACCAGCGGGGGGTGAGAGGAAGGGCTAGGGGAAACGAAGGGAAAGGAAGGGGTTAGAGTGGGGGTGAATTCGATGAATCGTACTGGTTTATACGAGGGCGTTTCCTACAGGCGTGTTCATATTCGACCAATCCTAAGTCATTCCCCTGACACGTCAGAAGACATTACACGCGTAAACGTGTCGAAATGTATATTTTTTTTTGGTGTTATCTTTTTTTCCATTTGCATATGTGTGTGTGTGTGTGTGTATTGGGTTATATTGTTTCAATCCATGTTTGTTGTTTCCTTACTTTTCAGTACCTAGTCATCTTTTGAATGGATTTTTTTTCACAATAATTATTATTATTATTTATTGTTATTGTGATTTTTAGGAATGGATTGGTTTCATTTGATCTGTGGTAAATTTTGGTTAAGGTTCTTGTTACATAAGTGGTGTGTACACTTTAATAAAAATTAAGAATCAACAGATGTAACTAAACCGGATTGTAGGTCAGTACGAAAGATTTATGAACTTAGTCGTATAGAAAATAAATGATAGAGAAGATTATAGAAAAAATAAAAAAATAGTATTCGATATTAAAGAAGAGTAAGGGATGGTGGGATTGTGGAAAATTCAATTGCTGCTGACCGTACCCGATTTCTTGGCTGGTAAATATCACGACGCTTGCGTGGTAGAATTTTCAACTTGTGTTTGATAAAATGAGAAAGGGATGGAAAAGGGTAAGAGGAGAAGTAAAAGAGGAATGAAGAAGAGAGATAGAGAGAGAGAGAGAGAGAGAAAAAGATAGTGAACACGTAGGAAGGACAAAATGGACGGCAACCAATCGTGTACCAGGCCAAAATGGCCGTCGTTGAATTTAATCAATACCTTGACTCCGTCCTTCGTTGTAAAGAGGAGGAAGAGGAAAAGGGGTTGACGAGGTATAGGTGGAGATGGTTTAAAGGAATGGTTAGGTAAGGGGTGACGTGGTGGACCTAGAAAAGGGGTATGAAGGGCTAAAGGAACGACGTAAACTATTATACTTTCGACCCGTGTAAATGTTCACGTAGATGTACCACTACCGAGGTCGATATACCTTTGTCTTTTCACGTAACTCCCATTATTTCTTCTATCTTACAATACACTGTTGAAAGATTGAGAAAGGAAGATTGAGAAAATGTTCACTCTGTCTTGGATTCATTACTTTTACGTTACTTTTATATATGTTTCATTCTATTTTATTCAGTTTAAGTTATTACTTCAATTGTTACCTAAAAATTTAATATTAACAAGACAACCTAGGGGTTGGATACTCGTCAGGTGTTTTTAGATTGATTTTATTTACCCATAGGTTGGTTCAAATAAATTCTATGTCACATGTTTGTATGGTAAATGAGGTTAGGAATATTAAATTAGTTTGTATGATTCAAAATGTTATGTTGTTCATTTTGTTTTATAAAGATTATTGGTTTTTGATACAAGTAAAAGTTAGGGCTACAGTTAATAGAAAAATTTAGATTATTTTTTATTTAAATAAATGTAATATTTGATTTAATAAATTACATAATATTAATTTAATTAAATATACCATAAAAAGGAACATCAAAAGTGGGACAAGTTATCTGATTGAATAATCACACTTTTACGTAACTATTTTATGACTAAACCTTGATGAAATCTTTTCAAAAATATTACTTTTAAAAAAATTCCAATACAAAATACGAAAAAGAAACAATAAAAAGGGACAAGTTACACGTGTGCGAGACAAAGTGTGTCGAGTGTTATTTAAGAAGAATAAAAAAAGGGAGAAGAAAATGAGAAGAAGAAGAAGAAAAAAAGATTGAAGGTAGAAGACAAGGATAAAGAATAATAGAAGGGTGGAAAGAGTCGATGAAGGGGTCGTTTTTGCGTGGATGGTAGGAAATTGAGGAGGGGTGAGGGAACAGGGTGAGAGAGAGGGAGGGTGGAAGAGGGTAGTAGGTCGGGAGGATTTAATGCAACCACGAACGTTAGATCGATCGTACACTTTTTTTGTACTTTTTTTTGTTTTCCTTGCTTTCTTCGAAAGAAAATGTAAAAGAAAAAGATGGAAATAGTGAAAAGGGAAAGAAATGAGAAAAGAAAAATCTTCTCTCTCTCTCTCTCTCACTCTCTTTCTCTCTTTCTCTTTCTCTTTCTTTTCTTATATTTTCTTTTTTCTTTTTTTCTCGCATCTTCTCGTCGAAAGTTTAAATCGAGCCGACAGTAACCGGAGGGCTCATCGTGGAAAGAATTCACTGGCGGCATCTGTTCTGAATTTCCATTCTCCATTATCGTGAATTCTAAAGAAAAAATAAAATTGTTTCTAAAGTAAGAGAGAAAGAGAATTTAGGATTATCAAAAAAAAAAAAAAAAGAAAAAACAACATTCTTCTTATTATAAATTTGTTTAGTACTAAACTTTTTAGGTTAACTTTTTTATACAACTGCATATAATTACTTACTGCACACCCTGTCTATTATAAAGGTAAAAAAAAGAAAAACAGAATACATATATTTGAATGTAAAACAAAGTTTACAAAAGTGTTTTATAATGATTGTTATACCAAATTAATAATAATTCGTTTTATTTTGTTTTTAGGTTATGTTTCGTAAAATTATACTTTTTTAAGATCAAACTTTTGATTTAATAATTTAAATATTTTCATTGACATCATGTAAATTGTTTTAAACGATAATGTGACAAATAAAATACGATGGTATGAATAGTTTTTGTTTAAAAGTGAAGTTAGAAAAATCAATTAATCAATTGGAAGACATTAAAAGGAAACTTTTGTTGCGGTTTGACTTGTTTGTTGTTTTTTTTTTCTTTCTTAAAATTACGTGCTTAGGGTCTAACTTTTGGCAGGCGTAAAAACTTGAAAGCACATCCTTTAGATTTAGAACGATTTTACGAGAATGGAATACGAAATACGTGTTTGCCAAAATAAGAAAAAGAAAAAGAAAAAGAAAAAAGAAGATGGAAGCCGAACAAAGTGCATGCTCTAGATTTTTTGATAAGATTTCAAACCTTTTATTCCAGGAACAATTTATTGAAACATGTAACATCGAATTACTTTGTTAAGAATAATAAATAAACGATAAACTTTGATTTAAAAAAAAAAAAAAAAAGGACCGATTTGTCCGAATTTTGATCGGAATCAATTCGTTTGGGAAAATTTGTTGGACTTTAGATCATTTTGATTGTTGCATCGTTGAGACAAAGGTAAATAATTTAGGATAAAAATCGTCTGTATTGATTGATAAACAATTGATAATATGGATAATTGAAAAAAAAATGAAGAAACAAAAAAAAATACAAGAATAAAATACAATTTGTGTCAATTGAATTACGTAGTTGACGTGTATATTACGTCAAAATAAAATAGTAACTCGTTGAATTTATCTTTTCCCTTTATCTTTTAAAAAAAAAAAAAAAAAAAAGAAAAAAAAATACAAAATAAAAAAAATATTTAATCCGATAACATTCAGACTTACGTAGCAAGTAAATAACTTGTTTTTTTTCTCTTCCCCTCCTTCCCCCTCGCCCTTTCATGTTTTGTATGATGGAATTGAAGTTTTCAAGGACGTTTATAGTAGTAACAATTTTTTTTTTGTTAAGATTTATTGATATATATAATAACAGATTACAATTCTAAAGAAATTCAAGTATTTATCATAATGTTATCAAATTTGTTAATACGTTAAATACTTGAATATTAACATGTATGTGTTGTTATAATGTTGATGAATTAGTATTATTAATCCTCTTAAAAATGAGAGAAAAAGATCTTTTATAAAAGATATCACACACGTCTTATAATGAATTTATTTTACAAACAATTAATACTCGTTGTTGATATACGACGATACCACCCTACGCTTATGAAAACATGTTGGTTATCAATTATCATCATTGATCAATTGATTTGACGTTTCTATATTTTATCGAATTTTATAACAATTTATCTAGAATCGATACGTCGTGCAATTACTCATGATCATTCAGTCTGTTGAAACGTTATTGTTCGGATAATTACGTTCTTTATCTAATTGTTAATTTGTTCAACAAGTGTAGTTCAATTTTGTATAAAGAAAAATTCAATTTGTTTCTACAGGTAAGACAAAGGATTAATTTGTTCGTTAAATTACAAAATTATAGGAAGTATTTGATCGTAATGATAATTTTGATTGGTATAATTATTTTAAGAAATGTTGCAATTGAAGTTTATTATAGTTTGGGTTTATATTGATCGTATTGTCATTTGATTGAACGCATTCTAGCATGCTTTATCTGTAACAAACATTGCCAATGGTATCTGTATTAGCTGGTATGTCACGTAACTGTTAGATATGTCAGATTTCTATCGTCATAGTTAGTTCATGCTTCAGCTACTAGAAACTTCAGTTTATCTTAGCTGTGAATACGTAAATGCTATCGATTTAGTTCATGAAATTGTTCAATACAAATGTCAATTGATTATTAAGGTTGTACTATATTTCCAAAACCCAATGAATAATCTAAAACAAAACAGAATAATAGATAATTAAACTTATTGCAAATGTAATTTAAAATTTACTTGAGCTAAGTTTTACTAAATTGTCTTCAATCGTTAAATAAATTTATAATCGTGTAAATTTAATTGGGTGGTTATAATTATAAATAATTCCAAATTTCGTTCAATGCTTAATTTTCTAAAAATAAAATCAGGATTCAGTGCTAGTAATTGCATTTTTTAAACATCTTTTTCTGAGATGACTACAACCATTCGTTAAATTTATGCACAAAATGTGATCTATTTAAAATAAATTCAATTTAAAGATATCAATCGTAAATTAAATCCACAGAGTAACCTAATTCTATAATAAATGATATTTCAAATTTACATTATCACATAATCCTAAATTGAAATAATTTCACAGTGAAGTTTTAATTTAAAATTTGTTTCATATTAAAGATGACAATTGTATTCAACCAATTAACAAAATAAACTTTATGGAATATTTTTACTTCTGAAAAGTAAGCCAACAAAAAAAAGAAATATATCCATTGACCAGACTAACCCAAATTCAGTGAACAATATCGAAAAATAGGGGTGGGGGATGCTAGACAAAATATTAGATTAAAAATGAAAATCTGATTAGTTCTTAAAAAGAACTAATAAAGTATAAAACAAAGTATAATGAAAGTAATAAAGAATAAGAAGAGAGAAATGTAAAAACAAAGAAGAAAGTTGTAGGAGAGGGGGGGGGGAAATAGAGGTAAAGAATTGAGAAGTGGGGTAGAGAGGGGAGGGGTAAAGTTTTGATATTGATTAGCCATCAGTTTCAGATGACGCCTCTAACCTGGTGGGTGTTGCTGGCAACGTTATTCGGCCACGCCAGGATCGTCCCGGCAAGGATTTACGAAATTGAAAACGCATGCGCCATTTTGTGCCGCGCCGAGAAACTGCTGCTGCTTCTTTCAGAATTGAACAACGAAAAGGGGAAATTAGTGGAGTTTGATAAAGTGGGGGAAAAGGAGGGGAAGAACGATGACGATGAAGAAGATCTGTTGGAAGGTGGGGAGGTGGAGGAGGGTGGGGAGAAGGTGGTAGTAGTGGGAGAGGAAAACTACGACGTGATCCACGTTACTTCTCAGTTTGTCGAAGGCCTTCGTGTTGGTGGTGGCCTTCATCGTCATCCTCGTCATCGTCGTCGTCCTCCTCGTCGTCGTCGTCGTCTTGGTGATGATGATGATGGTGTTGTAAACGATCATAATCATAATCATCATGACCATCAACAATTGTTATTAAACGATTATTGTTTAACATCGAATAAAATTCGATTACATTGTCAAGATTTTTTCATTAATCTTCGAAATCGTCAGGGATGCAATTGCCAATTGTTCAAGTCTTCTTCAACAATACGAAAGAACCTAATCGGGGGAGGAATTATCAATCGAGACGATTCGAACAAATTATTGGACGTATCCCAAAAACAACAGCAACAGCAACAACAACAACAACAACACCAACAATTTCGACAAGTAGTTGTAAAAGAAGAAGAAGAAGAAGAAAAATTAGAAGAAGAAAAACGTTTTTTATTGGTGACGATGAAAATGATGATGAGAAATCCAAAAGAATTGTCATCGATCAAGGATCATCATTATTATTTACCAATCAAAATGGAAACGAATAATCAAGAATTGGTAAGCAGTGCACCAAATAATCCAACAGATTCGGATGAGATTGACTGGGATATGTGGTGCATGGCACAGTGCGATATCGGCCATGGGGGAAGTGCCTGCGAGTGTGACATCATTCCTTGAATTTTTATTCCTGGTTCCTTTTTTTTTTATTTTTATTTTTATATATATTATATATATATATTTCAAAACAATTATTAATGGAAGTATGACGAAGAAAGAAAAATGATAAACAAAACTACTATATATATATGTATCTTTTATTTTGAATCTTATGATCTAAACAACTGAGGGAATATAAAAATTATGGCAAGTTTTTTAGTTTGCCTGTTATCGGATACGCCAGAGGAATTTACATATCTCATAGATGATATATATACACACACATACATATATATATATATATATATATAATATTATAGGCGTGTCTAGGTCACACACAGTCACAGTTTGATCATTAGAATCTTAACTGAGAATGTTGTTCTTCTATCTATCTATCTACTTATCTATCTATATCTATTCATCTATCTATTCTATCTATTCAACTAATCTATCTATAAATGTATACGTATACATGTAAGTTTGGTAAGTAATTAATTAATTTTGATTTTGATCACAAATGAATATACATTATTTATTTCATATACAATATTTTCCTTGTTTATTTAAATAATTATTTCTTTCCTTTACTACTATCGTTTCTTTTTATTTTATTTTATTTTATTTTATATACACTACTTTAATTATTTATTTATATGCTGTTTATTTTTGTTGTTGATATATTACATTTTTTTTTTTTATGATAAGAAATATATTGATTTCAATTAACGTAGTTTAATTTTAATCGTACTTTAGATCGGTAAGAATGTTACGATAGGTCGAGTTCACACGTCAAAAAATAATCATGCGAATTGATCGATGAAAATTACACATTTGTTTTCATAATTGATAAAAAGAATCATATATACACAAAATGTAGACACACACTCATGCACACACAGATAAACATACATAGATATATGTAAGATGGCAGGACAAATTTTGGATGTGTGAACACGAGTCTCTGGTTCCGAGAAATGTGTGTATTATGCAATAAATGATATTTATGTAAAACGCGATTAAATTGTAACGTTTAACGTTAAATATTAATCGTCAATTAAATTCAATGAATAATATAATTATTGTATCGTGTGTGATTGTCAATTTTTAACTTTTACACAAAATCTAATTCGAGTATTTTCAATAATAATATAATTATAATCAACTAATGTGTATATATATATATATAGTTTTAAGATTAAAATTTAGAAAGAGTATAATAACAAAATCCAAGTCTTCCATTATGATAGTTTATTTTATTATTAATTAATATATAAGCTTAACACAAAATCAATTCATCCACTTATACGTGTATTAATTTATAAGAAACAAATATTATATGTCTGTGTATTTTCATCGGCGAAGAAAATTATTTTATGTTTCAATTTTTTCTATCTATCTAATTATCAATCTATAAATCTGTCTATCTATCTAACTATCTATATCTTCCTTTCTAATGAAAAAAAAAATTAAATTAATCATATAAGTGAGATAAGAAATGTGTACAAAATATACGTTCGTTAATTTTGCGCCGTTAATAAAAAAAAAAAAAAATGAAGTTGTGACGCGACAATAAGATGTAGATTTTAGAATGCCTATGGATACGATGTAACGTTAACCTTTTTTCTATTTTTGACAATCGCAAATTATACTAGCACGACATGAGTCTATTCGTTAATATTTCATTTATGATAATCAATTTTATATATATAACAAATTTTTTGAAAATAAAATATATATAATAATTATAGTAATATTTTTCTATACATCAAAATATTCTTACAATATTTTAAGGTTCGGAAATTAACAATTTATGTTTAATATAAAATCTGCTTTATATTATTTTATTTATTATTATGCGATGGTTAAAAATAAGGTTAAGGTTAGCGATCCAATAATTCATTAATTAGGCTATACTTTTAAGAAAACAAAAATAACTTGTAAATATATTCATACATTATATTGTTAAGGTAATTATTTGAAAAGGAGATAATACGGGGTATCAAATAATATATTTCACAAATATTATATATAATTATTAAATTACAATATCTCATTGTAATATCAATACATGATACATAATATAATGTTAAGTATAACTTTAACTTTAACTTTAATCTTAAATTTAATAATAAATCAATTCGTTAAGTAAACCAAATCTAAGTGAAGGTAATTTCATCTTTCTCATGTCTATAAAATAAAACTATTAAAATAAAAAAAAAAATCATGTGGGCAGATCACACGTGTTAGAAGTGAAATCTTCGAAAATCTAAGTTTCGAGAGAATGAGACGACTGCAGAATATCAGAAGTAGGATAATTGTAGGATTTATTTGTTATAATATTATTATTATATTATTGTTATCACATTCAAAAATTATTATACGTTTTATTGAAAACATATATAAATAGATAACATATTACACAGTAAGCAAGTTTTCAATTCAAARAAATKAGACGAGTTGCTTCTGGTAACTAAAAAATGCATGGTAACTAAACACCTCTGTTAGTGTAGTAAACACCTCTATAGTAAGGTTTTTTCCGAAAAGTAGTAAGGTTTTTTCCGAAAAGTAGTGAGGCTTTTTCTGAAAAGTAGTGAGGTTTTTTCCAAAAAGTAGTAAGGTTTTTTCCGAAAAGTAGTAAGGTTTTTTCCGAAAAGTAGTAAGGTTTTTTTAATAAAGTAGTGAGGTTTTTTCCGATAAGTCCGTAGGGTCTTTCCGATAAGTCCGTAGGGTATTTCTGATAAGTCCGTAGGGTGTGTTTAATTAGGCCTCGTAGAAGAGTCTCGTAAACAAGCCTCGTTAAAAAGCCTCGTAATCGAGTTTCTTGTATTTACAAACTTTTCTATTTTATTGAAAAATTAGTATAAATTTTCTAATTATGCAAACATTATAATTAAAAAACATGTCTTTGGATATTTATAAAAAAAGTATTCTACAATGTTGTCTAATTCTTTTTTTCTCATGTATCTTATAATCAATTTTTTTTTTTGTAAAATTTTGCAGACAATACAATTATTTTAATCTATATATATTTCATAATCATTAATAAGAATAATATTTAGGAAATAAATAATTTAATATTAATTTTTCAATAAAATAGAAACATTTTTAAATAGAAAAGAAATGACACGTTTCGTAAAAAAAAACAGACCACGCACCTTCTTTCTTTATTTAGACCGTCGGTTCGTTGGGACCTTATTCTTATGTCGCATACCTACGTGCTTATCTCTGCTTATTCTTCTACCCTTCTATCGCTCCTACCGACAATTAGGTTTAGTATCGAAATAATATGTGTCCACTCTTTGTAGTATGCAGTCGCACACAAATACACACATATACAACCAGAAGCGATAACTACGAAGCATAGCATAAAGAGGAGACCGAGAATAGGAAAAACCTTATAGCTATATTCCGTCTCATTCCCTCGCAGTCTAAATCCTATGTTTGTCTCTTTTTCTCTCATTATTTAGTATGGCAGCCGTTTCATAGCTTCGTTACATAGCTCCGTTTCCGTTTATTTACTTTTCAGATCACTCCTATTCTAAAGAAGTTTTCACTTCAACAAGCCAACAGTATTTTAAAACTTATAAAAAATGAAACAAGCAAAAACATCTTTATCAATAAATTTACAGTAATCAATTCATTTTGAATAATTAACAATAATTTTTGTAATAGTTTATCGATCATGAAGACTCGTCAAAAAATTAGTTTAAAGTATTTCAAACTATAGTAAAATATTTTTTTATCGATTGAGCAAATCACAATGAAACGCAAACTTATCGATCGAATAAATAGTCAACACTGTTTTATTATACGAGTAGAAAAGGTTCAATGATGGTACAATTATGTTTTATTGATCATTAAACAAAATTGATAATAGAAGAATTCTACTTTACCAATTAGCAGTTGTGACTATCAGCAGAAAAATTCTGTTTTATCGATCATTATTCGTGACTATTAACAGAGTTCTATCTTATCGACTGTAAACTCACCAAATAATAGTAGGGTTTGTATAGTCAAGTGAAAATGAAATATACCTTATCAATTGTTTCCTAATTATCAATGGAAGATGTAGTAGAAACTTTATCTTATCTATTGCAAATAACTTAACTCGTATGATGTATAAATATTCTTGTTTCTTTATCAGGTTTTCAAGAATTTACAAAATATTTGATTATTGACATTTATGAACATCTATAAAAAGTTCAAATTTTAAATATTTATTTAAAAATAATTAAAATAATAATAACATCTGTTTAAATTTATATTTACATAAAGAAATTTGATTTGATATTCCAAAACTTTTCAAATCGAAATGTGTACAATGTGACCACTTCTTTATACTAGAATATGTTTAAATATTATTGTAACAAATAAAACATATTCGTATTATTTTTTATTTTATGATAAAACTATAAATAATAAGATATATTATTATTAGAATTCTTATAAACGCTAAGAAAAGGGTTTTATTATTTCCCACGAGGTAAAAATCAATCTTAGAGAACAATCGAAATTATATTACGTTTCTGATAACTTGTAATGCAATTTTGGCACACTATTATTCGTTTCCCAGTGGTATTTTTCAGATTCCTATATAAGCCGAGATTTCTTGGAAGAAAGCATCAGTTCAGTTTCTCAGAGCTTTCTCTAAGCAACAAGAACCATCATCTTCAGGTATTTATTTAAACATTTTTATATACATATATAATAATTATAAAGTTATAAAATATTTAAAAATATTTCTAACCGAGTATATAAACCATGTATTTATAAAATGAAATATTTTCTACGAAGGTCGAAAACTCATTTATCGAAACGTCAGTTGCAATGATTTGAATCTTAATATTTTCATTTCTATATACTTAAAACGAAATAACCATAATCTTTTAAAATATACCCCATACAACATTGCCATTGGTTATTCGGAATATTTACATTTATATATATATGAATCGATACACGTTTCAATTTAAGAAAAACTCATTGATTAGGTTTCTTTGCATATAATGGTTCATATCTGGATTTGATAGAAACATTTATCTTCAATCGTATTCTCAAGAGTATATAAACACCGAGATTTTCTAGATATCCAACATTAAGTCTTTGACTTTCGTTGAAGTATCAACAGCTTCTTTGAACGAGTAAGAAAGTTTATTAATATTTTATTCATACAAATTAGTATTTAGTGTTAATCGTCTAATTATTTCTTTAGATTTTTATTATTTTTCATAAAATAAGGTTTGTTTTCTTTTATCTTGATTTGTGGTTCATTAAAATATTTATTCTTTATAAAAATGTGTAAATTAATGTTTGATTTGTCACTCATTTGCGAAATTATTTGTTGCAGGTTAACCTCAAAAAACCCACAATACTCAAAATGATTGCCATTCGTCTCATTCTCGCCATCTTCTTCGTTGTTGCCATTTTTGGGCTTACTGTTGAAGCTGGATACAAAAAACCACCCTTCAATGGCAGCATCTTTGGCAAACGATCCAACTCCGAATCTGGTAATTAAAAAATCATAAAAACTTTTAATCAAACATTTGTAAATGATTATTACGAATGATTTACTTTAATTTCGTAATAATCTTTGATGTTTGAAATTTCAATACAAGTAAAATTTAAAAAACCAACGATGTTTCAATACTTATTAAGAAATAATATTAAAAATTATACTATAACTCACACAAGGGTTGTAAAATTCAACGATATACACATTCGAGCAAATTAATATTGAACTATACCTACTTATGTTGAAACATTTCACGATAAAATTGTTATAAATTGTTTAAAATATTGCTGATCTTAGTTTCTTGTATTGTTACTAAGAGATAAAGATATATTTACATGTATAAAATTTTAACAAAAATTGTATTTGAATGATTGCAGATGCCGAAGTTGCCAACCGTGCACTTTCAGCAATGTGCGAAATTGCCAGCGAAGCTTGCAACGCCTGGTTATCGAGATAAACAGTAATAATTAATAACCAACTATAACTTGCTTATAATCACTATGATCTTCTTTATGTAAAAATCTTAAAAAATGTAATCATCTACTAACACATTAACTTAACTAACATTTCATTCTAATATTATTGCTATTATAAGTTAATTAAATGTAAGTTCATTTCAATTCTAATGGTGTTGGGAACATTAAATTATACAAATAGTGTCATTTGAAATTGACAGCACGTATCGTTCAACTAACATGATGAGGGTTATCGATTTTAGGATACTTGTTTTGATTGAAAAAGTATTGACTGTTATTTTATATTCAATCATTGATTCATCATCTAAATTATTTATTTAAATTAAATACGTAAAATGTAGAACTTTTATTCGATCATTTATATATTTTGTTTAATAATTTGATAATTATTTAGTACACATTTTGAATAAAAATATGTTACACATATTTAACATTTTATAATTTTGTTAATAACCCTCACA